TCATTTCCTTCCAGTTTAATTACCTCATTTCACCCAGTTGGAAACCACCATTGAAATGAAATCCTTTGTTGGCGTTGACATTTTTTGTAATTGTGGACTCATTTTTATGATTTCCTTATATTTTATTGGCTTTTTCCAATGATGTGATTTCACCTCTAGGGGGAGCCCTCTGTTTCTCTATTGGTTATGGGAACCAGCTTTAATTGGGTGGGGTGGATTGTCAATTGCACCGTTAAACAGAAATGCGTGCCGGCTAGTGCTGTGTGTGTGTGTGTGTGTGTGTGTGTGTGTGTGTGTGTGTTAGCAGAGTGTGGATACAACACTGGACTGAGACTCCGTATGTGCTGAAGTGGACTGCTTTTGCTGGATGGGACTTGAGGGATCACCCAGAGATTCAGACAATAGCTTACCCAGGGTGGGCCTGGTGGGGTGGCTGTGCTTTTTAGGAAGGCTGTATGTCTACTGCTTGGCAGGAGCAAAATTGTGTTTGTGTTGGTGTGTGTGTGTGCTCCCAGTGTTACCAGTTTCTTCAGTGTCTTCATGGAGGCCTCTCCCTCCCTGCTGTTTGCTTAGTGCAAGCTGAGGCAGACAGCTCAATGTGGGCTTAGGATTCAAACACACACATGCACGGTCACATACCTACACTACATGCTCCAGGCACTCTCATTCCCTTTCTTCATCTAATCTTGATTCAGTGTGTGTATGTCTGTGGTTATTGGTTCATAATATTGTCTATATTGTGCATGCATGCATGTATTTCTTTGTTATATTGCTGTGTGTGCATGCATATTAGTGTATGTCCTTTTTGTTGCTGTAATACTTTATGTGCTTGTATTTGGTTGCATATGTTACTGTGTGTACGTGTGTCTATATGCATGTGTACAGGTGTCCTTTGTGTTGTTTTTGTGCCCTTGCACAGTGCAGGCCTGTGTGATTGTCATTTCCATCATGTCTGCCTGGACATTTTTGGTAGTCAGCTCCAGTTTGTTGGAGAGCTGGCACTATGCCAGTTAATTCCAAAAGCTCTCTCTGCGCTTGTGAGTCTGTGTGCATCCATTAGGGCAAAATATAGCTGGAGTAAACCTGAAATAGAAATAAATATTGAAAATATTACAAAAAAATTTGGAATCAATTTTCATGCTGAATGAGGCATATACCCACAGTTTGTGTGTGTGTTGGTGCAGAATCCGGTTTCAGCTTTCCTTCATCGGCTGTGTGGCTCGATGATGGGCAGTTTGGTTTCTCTGCTCTCCTCCCTGCGGTCTGTGTTTCAGCAACTGCGTGGTTGGTAGGACCACAGTGGCCACAGGCCAGAGTGTTGCAGCCGTTACCGTTTCCCCCTCTACATGGAGGAAAATATGTTAACGTGTAGGCTGTAGTTGAGCCTTTCTTCTTAGTCTGTTAAAGAAAATAGAAAATACCCCCATTCCCTTTCCTGCTGGGAGAGAAGAAGATTCATACCACTTTGATATCTGTATGATAAATATGAAGCTACAGTCAGGAAACTGTTAGCTTAGCATAGCACAAAGACTGGAAGTAGGGGGAAACAGCTACCCTGGCTCTGTACCAAAACTTTTGTACAGAATAAGCAGACAATATGTTAATTAGTTAATAATCATTATGCTAAGCTAAGCTAACAGTCTCCTGGCTGTAGCTGCATGTTTACCGTATAGACGTAAGAGTGGTATCAATATTCTCATCTAACTCTTGGCAAGAACATAAAATATGCTTATTTCCCCACCATTATTTCCCCAACTGTTCCTTTAAGTCTGTGCTATGCTGCCACATGTACAATTTATCAGCATTCAGCTAATACTTTATTTTTACAGTGTGACAGGATACATTGCTATTGATGAACTCAGCAGTAGCTGGTAATCTCAAAGCCACCCTGTCACCCACCTGAGTAAAAAATAACCTCATATAACAGTTTTTATTTTATTGCGAGTGTTTTTTAAATCACTCTCTGTGTTCCACATACAGCTCCATAAGGGATTAACAGGGTGCTGAATTAAGAATGGGTTTATTTCTTTGATATTCTGGTTATAGAGCAAGCTGGCCAGAACAATGAGAGATAGCATTGGAGGGAATGTTTGCTGAGCGTGTTCTCTTTGCTGCTACCACCCCCCAAATATCAAATCTAAGAGCTGAAGATTATTATTTTCCAAATTGATGTTGAACGTGTGATTTTCTCTGATAGCTCTTTGCAGTTGATTTAGGGGTTTCGTGGTCCAGAAAAATGTGTGAGCAGCCCTCTTTTAAACAACAGTGAGCTGAAAGATGAAGTGTTATCAGTGGGCCAGTCTTTTCACAGGTCACCCTGCTCTGTTATTGCAGAGTTCTCTACTCTGTTCTCTTTGTCCATCCTCTTTCTGTCCCTTTCTCTCCTCACCCCTTCCCTCTCTGTCTTTCTGTATTTCTGCCTCTCCCTCTGTGGATGTAACTTTCCTCTTTCTCCTTTTCTCTCCTCTGCTCGTCTCATCCCCCCTTCTCTCTGTCTTCAAGTGTCTTCTCCCAACTTTCTCTTTGCGTATCTCCCTCTCAGCCCCACCACTTCGAGTGCCTCAGCTCTTCTCCCGTAAGAGCCTCCAAACAGGCAAACAGTCATGCAGCTCTCCTATCACAATATAATGAGATTGGGAGCACCCAAATTGAAAGAAGCCATTTTCTACAGCTGTCAACTTATTATCGAGGGGGGACCGACTTATTCCGGTACCTTTAAAGGAACTGGAGGGAGTGAGGGATGGAGGTGATGGAGGGATGGAAGGGTTTGAAGTGCGAGGGGTGCTGAGGGAGGAGGTGGATGGGGAGCTCAGGGGTGAGCTGTTTTACATTTTGAATGTTTTCTTTTTTTCCCCCACTTCTCTCTGGTATTTCAGTATGGTCACTAGTGCAGCCTTGAAGTCCAAGTCTTTTATTCACCATGTTCTTCTTAATATTTTAAAAAGCAGCATGTAAGGCTCTCTGGACCTGTGTTTTTTTCTTTCGAATGTATGCGAGTGTTTGAGCACCTCTGTGTGTGAGTGTGTGAGTGTTTATTCTCCCTCTTCATGACTATTTATATCCAAACAGTATACTTGTGTCTGAAGGAATGGTTGTCTTTCTACTTTGGCCAGGCATCTGCTGGTACAAACTCTGATTTAAAATTCAAGCATTTAGGTGTCACTTTTATGTGCAGCGCTGAGTAGTATCCGACAGGCTGTGTGGATGTAACCTGCAATTTCTTGAGCAGGCCTCTATCCAGCTCTATTCGTCATTTCTTTATTGGAAACTACAAAGAGGATCACTGGCACAGCACTAAAGCAAAGTGATACGAGGTGAAGAAAAAAGTCTGGTGACGCACCTCCAACGAGGCCATAAAATACTCAAATGGTCATACGTGCAGCGGATAGCAGGCGCTGAGCTGTACAGAAACATATTCTCTTTTGCAGAAGGCAAGCAGCGGTACATTAACGAACATGAGCACAGCATGCCCCACATATTGACGCCTTGATCACATCCTTTAAATGTCACATGTCCAGTGATGGCCTGCAAGGTTGCCGAACTGGTTTAGGAGGTTTTGAAGATGCCACGCACAAGCTGTCAGACCTCACCAGCATCTGCTGGGTCTGATGGTAGAGTTAAATTTGCCCTTATTTCCAAGCAGGACATTTGATTCTACTTGACATTTTCACAAGAGGGGTTTTCCCCCCCATCTTTCTGCTTTTGGAAAGTCAGCTTTTATCCATTTTAAGGACATTAAACTGTAAATAATCTTTTTAATAATCAAAGTGTTTTTATTGATTTTCATATTTGTAAATAATCTTTTTGTTTGAGAGTCTTGTTACATCTTTTCAAACTTGCTTTTATTTGGCTCAAGGATGATTATCTGCCCTGTTTGTACCTTTACAGAGTGTTGTAGTGTGTTATTGTGGCAGATTTCAGTAATTACCTCAGCCAAGCAGGCGTTTAGTCCCGTGAAGTTTGTTTGCTTTTGTTAATTAGCAGATATCGCAAAAAACTATTGAAGAGATTTCAGTTAAATTTGGCAGAAATTCAGGCCTTGGGCCAAGAAGGAACTGATTAGATTTTGGTGCAGATAGCGCAAATATGTGATCATTTTTTATTTTAAAAAACGTATGTTTTGGGGCATTTTACACCCGTATAAAGCAAATTCTTTTTCTCCACTGCTGCAAACCAAATCTACCCACAGGGGGACAAATAAAGTAACCTAAACCTGAATCTCCTGGACTCCTTGGATTAAGATTAATCCATCAGTTATTGGTGTCCTAAACCGTATTCTGGTCATTGCATTGTGGGTAATATAGGCACCAGACTTTGATATAGAAGAAGAATGCATGAAATAAAAAACCTTATATGTCTGGTTCTGCTGGATCCATTTTGATCTTTTTTTTTACAGTGTTATAGGACTGCAATGCTTTTAACATGTACTACTGCCATAATGCATTACATTGTACAATTGCAACCACATTTTGGCCACATACTCTGAGTGTTCTTGCAAAATTTATCAATCAATTAATCAGTAACACCTTTTAGGGGCTGCACAGAACGAATCCAACCAATCTTTACCCACAGCTACACTGCACAGTTTTTGTGAGCTAGCTGCTGGCCCAGCCACTCTGTGTGTATGTGTGTGTGTATGTGTGTATGCAGCTGTAGTTTTGTGTGTCCCGTATCTACCGTCTGTATAGCAGAGTGACCTTGATGTCTGCACACAGCAGGAAGACACTAGAGAGGAGTGATTAACAAGAGAGAGACAAAGAGAAGAGAGAGAAGTGCGAAGAAAGATGAAAATTAACAGAAAAAGAAGTGTAGCGAGAGATGGGCAAAGTGTGAAAGTTAAATATGCAACAAAAAACACAGCTAAAAGAAAAAAGAGCGAGAGAGAGACGGAAAGATGTTAAAAATTGAGAAGTGGAGAGGGGGAGAGGAAGTAGGGTGGAGTGGAGGAGTGACTCACCACACATCTATTGTTTTTTTTCTTCTTCTTCTTCTCCCTACAGGCAATCTGGAGGTGCAGTCATCAAGAACAGGTAAGAGAGAGGATGAGAGATGGGAGAGGGAGAGGTGGGTGAAAAGGGGGAGGAAGGAACAAAGAGAAGAATATTACACTGAATGGTAATCAAACTCACACATGTACAGGTGAGAAGATGTAGTGCATACACTGTCCTCACAGTGAAAAATGTGTTACTGTAGTGCATGTGTGAGTGTGTGGTTCGAGCAGTATGTTGTTGCCAACTCGTCTGCTGTGACCCAGGTTAATAGGACTGTGCATCTCCACGGCTCTCCTGCACACACACACACACA